ATATATATATATTACATTAAATCATTGGACATCATTATTATAACCTAAACAGTTAACAACATTCCAAGTTTATTTTTAGATTTGATATTAAAATATTGATATGATTTATTATTTTCCAACATATTCCTCATGGCAAAACTGTCACATGGAAGATAGACTTCCCTGATGCTTAAATTGATTTTCAATTTTCTGTAAAGAAACAAGTCATGAGCCATCTGAGCTAGTCTGCAAGCATGTCAAAGCCTCGCTCTTGGTGTCCTGGTTACATCCCCTTTTAACAGAAGCTCTTTCAAGTGAAATTAATCAATCTCTTTATCACTTGGGCAGTGTCATTGCCCAACCACAGAGTGAGAAATGAAAGTGCTAATCGCACAGTGAGTGGGGCTTTTGTGTAAGAAGGCCAAGTTCTCCTGTTCAAGCTGCTTTGCAAATGCGTTCTCAATTGAATTTGTGAGGCGAGGAGATGATGAATTTTGAACTTACCTCAAAAAAATGTATCCAAAAAGTGCCGCGTGACATTAGCTGCAGGTACGGTTTTAAAAATAATACAGTCAAATGCAAACACAGTCAAATAAGAAAAGAAATGCTTTATCATTTATTTATGTTTATACTGTGCATTGCAACATTTTTCACTGCACATGACATCTGGGGTGTAGAAATCCTCTCGAAATACCAGCAGATGATCATTTAGCGAGCAGCAGTGTCTCTTAAACTGCACCACTGCAGCATATACATTGTTATTTCAACAGTCTTTGCCCTGCTTGTCACTTTGGGAGTGTGGATGAATAGTCAGTCAGAAAAAAAAAGGTATTATTATGCTAACCATCGAGGCGTACGGACCTGCAAGCTTGATGATGTCAAGCAGACTGAGATTTATGCTCCCCGTGTGTGTGTCAAAAAAAAAAAAAAAAAAAAAAAAAAAGAAGGAAGGTTACTCTCAGAACAGGTTGCACTGAAAATAGATGTAGTTTTTCTATTTGCTTAGTAAGTTATTTTTCTGTTCTGGACGTAGTCAAGGCAGTCAGACTTGTGTGTGTGTGTGTGTGTGTGTGTGTGTGTGTGTGTGTGTGTGTGTATTTGCTTGAATACTGCTGAGCATGTGTTCACATTTGCAGCAGGCTACAGTTAACGACCCTCAGAAGTTTCAAATTGACTGTTTTTCTGTACAAAAGATTGGACCTGGGGACAATTATCAACATATTTTATAGGTACAGCAATAAAAAAATTAAATGTTGTACCTGCTTTCCATGAGAAATGATGGTCCTTCAGAAGTATGATGTCTGAGTGGACTGGAATGGAAAAGAAAGACAAGAGCAGAAAGAGGCTGAGGATGTTCCCAGCTTGCCATGTCCGGGCAATGACCCCTAAGTCATCTTTCCGAGTCATAGTCCAGCCCATTGCTTCCTCTCTTACTCCTGTGAGAAAAAATAAAATAAAATTAAAAAATCAGTATCTCAATGATTCCATAACCAGAATAAAAATATTTGAAGCACAGGAAGGGACTGTGTGGAGATCACAAGGGGAACGAAAAGAATGTCACCCAGATAATCTGCTGAATAAAAAAATAATAATTTTAAAAAACATGTCACCAAAACCTGAAGCCCAGGAACTAATATTCAACATCATCCTCCAACGTGCAGCACATCCTTTCACCCATGAACTGCAGCGTTGATTTTCAATTTCGTTTTCAAAATCCAGCATAGAAATGTAGCCCAACACATTCTTCTGCTGCTTCATAGACCATAAAAGATAACAGAAGCAATGAACGAATGAACTCAGCTTACCAAGGTGTAAAAAGCAGAAACAAGTACAGACAGAAGCTAAGTCTTTCAGCTCGTAGTATTAAAGGTATTAGTGCATTTTTCATTGAAGCTCATCTTTTCTTCTGCTCCTATTAGTCATACGAGCGCTCAGGATTAGTCCAAGATTCCCAGTTGTGCCGCACCAATAGTAAAATTAATGAATAAAGAACACCTGATGTTCCCAGAGACTGATGTCATGGTGGTTGGGACTGCGGTTATTCTTTTCCCAAAAACAAATTTGAAGCTCTCAAGTATTGAGGAATTTGTTATTACTGAACTGCCAGTCAAACAATAAAGCAGCTCTGGGCTGTTATTTTTCTCACTCTGCATTCACCAAGCCCAACATGCAGTCACATATTTAACCTATTCTTTTTCTTGTTATTATTTCAGATCGCTATGTGAAGTTTTATCTTATTTTGTAAAGGTGCTTATCATGTTAATGCCTAATCAAGGATTAGCTACTGAAAAAAAGCACAGGTTAGAGATTTTAAATCATTTACTTGTGGATACTTAGTGACAGTGCAGAATGTTTAGTTTTGCTTTATGTCATTCAGTAAAATTAGAGTTTGCCTTTGCTGCCCCCCCCAACATTTTACCATTTTTATTTATATATTTGCATTTTTTTAAGGATTCTGCATTGTTTATGTACATAAACATTGTTATGTACATTATCCTTAACTTTGCTGTATGTATTTTATATTCTTTATGCATTTTATATTCTGTATGTATTTTATATTCTTTATGTATTTTATATTATTTTTGTAATTTATTCCTGTTGATCTTTGTTCTTACTTTAAAGTGTCCTTGGGTGTCATGAAAGGCGCTTTTTAAATCAAATGATTATTATTATTATTATTATTATAACTGTTGCATTTTTTCCTCAGTAGCCCTTTTTAAATGGTTGTGAATTATATTAAATAAAAAGGAAATAGAGCAATGTAGTATATTTGATATGTCAATACATGTAAGATTGGAGCATTTCAACCAGGAGGTCATGTTTTAAATTAAATGCTTTTGAAGTGTGGACACCAAATAATTATAGAATATTGTATTTGAAAAATGTACTTAAAATTCACCAAGTGTAAAAGTTATAATGCTAGGGCGTAATACAGTTTATTTAGAGCTTGGAAAGTTTCAATGTTTTGAGATTGCAAAGACAACAATTGGCTAAGCTGTAAAATATCTTATTGGAAATGTATAATTCATTTTTGTTAAGTTCTAGAGGGATGCAAATTTTCTCGAGTATTGATGAAACAGGGATGCCATGATAATTGATTTAAAGGATGGTCAAACAGAGAGTTCAGGATTAATCATTTAGAGATTGTTTACCTGAGATGTCGGCTTGTGACCTCAACAGTGATGGCTGGTCCATAAAAATAAAAATCATTCATCCCACAAAGTAGTTCCTCCTAATAAATGATGTTAACTACTTATTTAATGAGCTTGCTGTGTATTGTTTTGTGCTTTTTTCCAACTATTATGACAATTTTAGATGAAATTTTAAATATTTTTAGTGACTCGTTTTCAGTTTTTTAATTATTTACTGTTATGGGCGGTAATGTTCAATGGCCCACATTCATCAAGCGGATCCAAATGTGTGGCCAGTGATCCAAACAGGCAGGTCTAGTACAGTTTTATTTCATTTCATGTTCTGCCTTGTGGACACATTTAGTTTTAACACACCGATACGACCTCTACCTAGATCTGACATGAGCTCAAACTCAGGAGTAGCTGCAGTGAAACCTGCTGAGACCAACAGTGGAGATATTGTGTTTTTAAATCCATCTGGAGCAGAAGGGACCAAAACAGATAACTTAAAAAGAACAGAGTAAAGTTAAAGAACAATAAATATCCACCAACATGTAGGCTCTTCTTTGAAAGATTCTATGTCTTCTGTGTGAAGCTGTGGGGTGTCAATAGTTGAAACAGTGGTCTTGTGGACTGAGTGTGTGTGGGTTAGATCTCCACTTGAATTTTCTATTGGATTCTGTGACATTATATAATCATTGTTCACTTTTATTTTATTTTTGAGTTACTCCACTGACTTTTCCCCCATTTAACTGTGTTAATTTTGAGTATTGTTTCAGAATTTTTACTTCAAATCAAAATTAGAAATCCAATTCAGAAAGCGGTGCACCTGTCAGATAAGTGTGGGAGGCGTCAGTTTGTGATTTATTAGACTGGATTGTTTTTCACGAGACACAACCTCAACCCGCGGGTGGTAGATAAAAGGCAAAACGTAGACACACACAAAAACAACATCAATAAATTTAATATTAAGAAACATATTGAGGGAGGGGGGTTGTCACCGACAATGTAACGCAATTTGGAAAAATTTCAGGAACTTCCACTTCACTAATAATTTTGCTCAGTAGCTTCCACTGGAGCTCAAAAAACTATTTCAGTTGAAAAGTATTTACTACAATACAAGCAAAGACATGCTATATATGTCATTTCAGGTTACATAAATGCAGAATAATTGATTGGAGAGAAAATACATAATTTGAAGTTTGTTTGATAGCTGTGTTGTGGTTGAATTTCAATATAAAATATTGTGATAATAAAACTAGAAAACGTTGTAGATAACAAGAATAAAGGAACAATCTGAAATGTGGTAATTACCTGAGGAAAGTTTTGGGACTCTTTAGTTGAGCTTTGGCGTCACATTGCTAATCTGCTATGTTCTTTTTTTATTTTTTAATGGAACTGAAATGTGTGTCACATTTCCTGAGTCAAATGTAATGTAAGTGTATAGTGTTGCACTTTAATGTTTTAATGGGTGAGAGTTAAAAAGAAAAACAAAGAGTAAGTGAAAAAGAAATAGTTGAGCAACTTTAACAATCCAGAAATGTTTCATGGTTCCCAGAACACACAGAGGTGTCGGGTGCACATTTTTATATCATATGTCCTCTGGCTTTAAAACATGATCCTAATGTCTATTTTTGTTTTACATTAAATCAGAGAAAACACAAAATCAAATATTGCCAATTCATTATACAACACATCATTTGTGTGCATCATTCTTCAGCCTGCACCACAAAACCTGGTAACTATAGCTGTTCTATTTTATTTTATTTTTTTTACTTCTAAAAGTTCATACACTAATCAAACCAAAATAGTACTGTTCTGTTTTTGGAGTTGCCTTTGTTTCACATATTTATGGCCTGAATATGTACTCTCTTTGGTTGAATGAGCAATCTGCTCTGGCTCTTGTGCAGCCATATGCCAATTAGACACCTCTTGCTGATTACTTGCCGCAGCCCTGTTTGGAAGCCATACCTGACTGCACCTAGATTACATCCTCCCTCTAGCTAGTCTAATTTGACCGTTCATGGGACAAGCAGTGCTCTCTCATAGGCTGACAGAGCATGTTGCAGCTAATTGGAAAACATGATCTTGAACAGAAACAAGCAATGGAAATGTGCATGGCCTCAAGACATGCCAGCCCTTTTCAAAGTACACAAAGGCAGACATTTGAGATAACCCTAGGGTGAGATACTTGCAAGATTTATAGCAGTAAAGTAGTTTTCATATACCTAAGACTTAGACTCATTCAATTAGAGCATCTCATAGGGAAATTAAATACAGGCTGTACTGGAAATTTCAAAAAGGCCAACTTTAAAGCTGTTAAGTATCTGGGTCAAAGGAATCAAGCCAGGTTTTTAGTGGCTGCAGAAAACCTGGCAATCACCAGCATGGCTCAGATACTGCTGTGCATCCGATTGGAAACTTCACAATCTGATGGAATGCAATCTGTCTCTCTGTCTCTGAGGTCCTGGTTTGGGGCCATTTTTTTTTTTTAAAGTAAGAATCCCTGACACTATCATCAAGGAACAGATGAGCAAAACTCTATAACCTTCCTTTTACAGGTGGCCATAACAATTAAGGTTTGATTAGATGTTTCCAAATTAAAGGGAAACATTAATTTAGATTGCCAAGACTCTGAACAATCAGCATGTGTGCGTGTGTGATGATGATGTGATCCTCCAGCCTCTCTTTAAATGAGCCAAACACCCCACTCTGTTTGGAGTGGAAACAGACATATTTGACTCCAGCCTGCATCCCAGAGATGTTACCCTAGTCTCTGGATTTCTGCAAAATTATGTTGCCAACCAGCTCATTCTCTCCTTACATTAACCGCTGGTATTCACGCTTCTGTTTCTGTTCTTGTCTTTCTGTGCCACATGCGGTACGTACTGGTTAACATGGCTGTGAATATTTTTTTTCCACATTGTTGTGCATGTAATTGTTTTTGATTGCTGGCAACAGAAACACAGCAATCCATCCTCATCCATCCAGCCTATTTTTGCAGATGCATTCACAGGCAGAACAGGCTATGAAAGCACTGAAAGGCTCATAATGCGAAACACAACGCTGTCTTTTAGACCATCGTGGACTTTAGATTTGTTATGACTGTGTGTGAATTGTTGCTCTCATTTTAATGATTTTGTATTTCATGGTTTCTGCAGTGTGTTTCTTCATATTTCTCTTGAATTTAAAGATTTGTGCTCATGTTTTCTGTTCAAGTGCCTGTGTGTAGGTTAAGTCAGAGGTGGGTCTATGATACCATAGTATTCAAAGGTTTGCATTTTTTCT